ACTGTACAATTAGTATTTGTAACTTCTAGCTCCAGAAAGCAAACATTCTCAGCTACCTACAATCTTTCATCAGCGGGCCCAGTTTTTGACACTTGCACATATGACTGTGGATTGGCTTAAAATAGTCCCAGAAAGGAGAGAAAGGGGTAGAGCCCAGCACACTGCTGCTCGCTGTTAATGGAGTAAAGGACATCATTGTCTTCCAAGACTCCCCATGTGTGGCCTGAGCTGCGTGCTCAGTGTCTGCAGCCTCAGCTCGCTGCTTCCTGTGGTTTCAGCAATAGCTCCAGCGGCAGGTTCCCGTGTGGTTAAAGAGAATCAGCCTCATTTGTCACATTAGCCAGGACAGCACACAATATCCTGCGGAAGAAAAACGGAACAAATATAATGTGAAAAGACACTAAACTGCTTGATACTGTAACACACATAGAGCCAGTTCACGCGTGTTTAGTGAGTTAAGTAATAAAATTAAAATATGGGAGTAACTGCTTAACTCTACATATTTTAGATGCATTGTTGGTCACTTAATTTCAGCCGTACATTTCGATAAAGCAAATACCCTAAAAATAACAACCCTAGAACCCTCTTTTGGCATTTTGTACCCGTGTGCCCCTCCCTGCCTCTTTCAGTCTATTCCTGAAGGATTATGCACATTCAAAGGGAACTTTCTCTTGGATTCCTCCTGGTTTATGAAGTTTTACTGTTCAAGTCAAGAGGTTGTGGTAGATTCACCTTATTACGGGAATGCGGTTTGGAATCAGAGGCCTGGACAAGAGGCCCCACTTCCGTGTGAAGATACATTCCCGACCCGGAGCCTCTTTTTCTTCATCTGTCCACGACTGGGTGATAGTACTTTACAGTGTTGCTGAAAAGATTAGACACGCTACATTGAAAACTCCTCAGGACCAGAGTGGACAGTGTCACCACTGAACATTTTTAAAACCATCTGTTGAAATAAAAGGTGGTTACGTTGTTAGTTTTATACCGTGAAATGGCGCTGAGCACCTCAGTCTAATTCCTCTTTAAAAAAGATTTCAGGCCCTCCCTGGTGGCCTAGCAGTTGAGCGCTGGGCTGCAAAGCTGCCCGCAGCCTCTGCAGTGCCGGTTCGATCCCCGGCCACCAGCGAAGGTCCCACATGGTGCGGCAGACCTCTCCTGCCACCCACTGCTCCCCTCAGCAGTGTATTTCGTCAGTCTGCCTGTTCTGTTCCCCGCTCTGGCTCTGGTGAATCCTCTCACCCTCCTGCGCGTCTGACTGTGCCCAGTGCTTGTATAAATAAACAAATAAACAAACAAACAAACAAATAAATAAATCTTAAAAAAAATTTCATTGTCCTTAACGCAACATGAACAGCAACCGGTCTCCACCGTCGCGGTGAGGGCCCTTCCAGGGGTGACTGCAAGCTATGCACCCCGGCATCCATCCTGCCCAGCCGTGCTGAATTATACACCCCTCAACGGGGGAGGCACAGGCCAGGGCAGGGTGCTTACTTTTAACACATAGCTCAGACCAAAGAATGGTCTGAAGAGTTTTTATAAACCTGTAGGGAAAAAAAAAAAAAACAATATCCCAAATTTGGGGAGAGAAAAAACAAAAATACAACTGGAAAATTCACAGAAGAAAGGCAGGTGGACTACACACACAGGGGTCATGAAAATCAGGTGTGATCACAAGCACATAACTAAACAGATGTGGATTTTAAAATGTTGGATGCTATTTTGTAACCTCAATAGTCCCAAAGGTCAGAGCTTGGCTTGCCCGGTTGGGCAGCTGAGAACAGCGTCTACACTGCCTGGTTGGAGTCTCCTGTGCGCCAGCTCTCCCTCTGGAGGGCTAATCTGTTAACTTACTCGTATGTGACAGGAAACAGATTAAAAGCATGAGCAGTGAATAAACTAAATGTCCATTAAGAGAGTATCAGTTAAAAAAGTCTATGACACATCCATAAATTCATGTATCCTTTGGCTATTATAAAAAATAGATTTTTACCTGCTATTATGGAAGTGGGTTTCCAGATATTGTTAATTGTAAAATATGGTTCATACTCTGGAAATATGTTTGTCATTTAGAGTAGTGTGCTAAACTGTGCATGTTTACTCAGAAGTGTGAGTGGGTGCCCTAAATGCTTCTGGAGGGAACTGCAGTAAATTCTTATCTCTGAGACGATGAGGGAGTTTCTGGTATAGACAGGAGGTGTTATCTTGCATACTCTTGATTAAAAAGTCACCATGTAAATATCTTACATTTTTATTTAAATGAATAGTAAGTTTAAAAATAAAAAGACTTATCCACAAACATTTATACATAAACATAAAAAGATTTATACACAAACAAATGCTTGTTATGACAAAAAAAAAAATGTTCCACAACTAAATAAAACAAAACAGATGCCCCACGAGACATGAAGTGAAATAGCGCAACACAGAGGAAAACGCGTTTCCGTGAAGGCCGACAAGACTTGGAACAACCCGCCCCATAAAGAGCCTTCTTGACCCGCAGTTCCCATTATACGCAAACCCAGGTGGACTCCAGACTCAACGAAACACAGCGCTAAGTTACTAGCTAAAACTATAGATCGGCTCAAACAAAAAACTATTAGGCAAAGAGCTGACAAACTTCAAAGAAATGTAAAAAGAAATCCCAAAGGAAATGGGCCTAGTGGGTGGAACCCATGACTCTACGTCTGGGATTTTCCGGGAGCACACACCCGCCAGGCAGCCAGGCCTTTACAGCGAGGCCCGTGGGGTGCCCTGCCTCAGGTCCCCTGGACCCCGGGGTCCGGGGCTTGGGCCAGGCCTGAGCCAGCCTCACTGCAGGGCTCAGATGGTCCTTCCCCCGCCGACAGCAAGGCCCAGGGGTGAGAGGTTCAGGAAAACCCAGCAGCCAGTGGAGAACAATGAATTTATAAGTTGAACAGTGAATTTATAAGCTGACTTATAAACTTACCAATGAGCTGTGAGGAGGTGTTTGGCAAGGTCTTCTGAGAGAGAAGGCGCCTGGTCTCCCCGCAGAGGACCCTGGGCAGGAGCTCTCTCCTCTCCGCGCTCCGCTGGCAGAGCTGAGGGGGGCTCTGGCTCTGTCTTGGCCTCCCCAGGGAGTGGCTGGAGGTGGCGGTGGAGGTGGGACGGACTCTGCGGGGAAGCAGGGAAGAAGGAGCTGGCGCAGACCGAGGAAGAGTCAGGCTCCGGAGGCCCCTGATGGAGCTGTTACCCCAGCACCGCCCCGCGCCAGGCTCCAGCGACAGCCCCACGGAGTGAATGTTGCTGCTTAAATGAGTTGACTTGGGTTTTCCACACTTTGCCCCACACAACACACCAAACAATGCAAATTTAAAGAAGGATGTGCTCAAGACGATTTTTTTTTTGGGATTTCAAAGAGGGTTTTAGCATCATCCACAGACAGTCTAAAAATATGAAAATCTCCAGTAATATAACTGGAAGTAATTCCTCACTTTATAAATAATTCATGATGGGCTCGGTGGAATATGATCTATCCTAGTGCACTTAAAATGGAAGCTGACTTATAAACAATTTATGTTCTTAAAACATGAAAGTAATAGCCTTCCTCTCTCAGGATTTCAGTGTGTAAAGCTGTATTATGTGTATTATCTCATCTGGTCTGGGAAACCAAAAGACGCCGGTGTTGGCCAGGGCTCCAGGAGGGTCCCAGCTTTTAGAGCGGACGTCCATCTCCAAACACCCGACACTGCCGCTGCATCACTTCGCCTTCTTCCACAGCTGCAGGTGTCGTGAATGCAGAGCCACTGTCCCCACCTTCCCCTCGTCACCTCAGATGTCTCCAGATGAACCCACAATGTTTTCTGTGTGATGGTCGCCAGCTCGGTAGCCCCGTTGCTACGTGGGAAGCTCTTGGGCGTGTTGACAGACAGATTCGCTTGCATTTGAACGGCCCACATTTACTAAGTATACAGCGCTTGGGAAAGTTCCTCTGATTTGTCATGTGGAAGTGGGAATAATAAACACCCACATCCAGGGTTTTGAGCAGCGAGCAAGAGAAATTCTTTTATGTCCTTTCGTTTCCCTGCGACCTGGTCTGCCCTTTTTAATTCTTCTTTCATAACATAATGCAAATTTTCATCCTTTAATTTATAAGATTGATAATTTCCATACTTGATGGCTTTCAAAGAGTCCTCTTTCCTGGAGTGAGGCCTGAACTCAGGACTCTGAAGATTTCCCAGGACTGACTCTCACTGACCCTCCCACCCCCTCACCAGCACGCCCTTTAAGACACAGACCCCTTCCGAGAGGAACCAAATGCTCCCCCAACCAAGCTTCTTCCAGATTCGGGGTTCCAGGCGCTGAGCTCTCTTTGTTGAAGGGTACCTAATGCAGAAAACCTGTAAATCTCTTTCTCTACGTCTTTGTAACACAGCCAATCTTTTCTGAAGCCTCTTGCAAGTTTTTGAAGCTGCAGATGTCTCTCTGGAGGTCCTGGGAGTCATCACTTTGAAGTGTAAACACTGGAGCGAGCTCGCATCTCCCTGGTCACTGGAGGTTGCACCTCACATTGGGGCGTAACTTATCTCCACCACAGGCATAAGAAAGCTCACCTTTGAGCAGAGCCAATTAGCAATCACAGGCTTCCCAGTGCTCCCTCTCAGGCCAGGCTCTCCTCCCTTCGCGCCGGTGGAGTCAGCTCAGGATAGCTCTGACCTCCCTCCTCTCGCAGGGGCCTGGCAGGCAGGCCCCCTTCCGTCACCTCCGCCGTCCCAGTCATGTCCACAACCTGCAGCCTCCGAGTGCGGCTCTGTCCATGCCGCCTCGCCCACACCCGCTCCACTCAGAGCACCCCTCCCTCTTCTTCGTGGCGACTGAGGCGTCCTTTGTAGACAATTTTCACTAATGAACAAACGTTGTTGTGCGTCTTGGTTAAAATTTTTTCTCTGGCTGTGCTAATTTATTTTGAAAACTACATTTGTTCACATCAATTTACACCTGATACTCATTGTTGGGTTTCTTTTGGTCATGCTGCTGTTCTCTCAGCTTCCAAGGTGTTGTGTGTGTCTGCCTTGTGCTACTAATTTTCCTGTGGTCTTGTTGGTCAGATCCACAGAGGCAAATGCAAGGGTTCTTCCTTGCTTCAGAACACGTGCTGTGACCACTACGACCTCTCCTATTTTAGCAGGTGCCACGTACATTAGGTTCATATCCACACTGATTCCAGGTGCTCCCCTTTCTGTGCATAGCAGAGCCAGTGTTGACATGTTATCCACCGAGGTGGCTGTCAGGCCTCCATGGAGCGTGCCTAATTTATTGGTATGCTCCTCTTCTACTTTCAATTCACAAATCACTTTCCCAGGATCAGCAGAGACAAGAGTCACTTTTTCCAAAATTCTACCAAACCCGTGGACGTCCTTCATGGCCTTCAACACCTGCAGCAAATTCTGCGTCAGGGACATGGTGGATCACTCTCCCACGTCTGGACCCTTCACAAGGGTGAACGTAGCAGCAGCCCTGCAGCTTGCAGAAGAGCAAGGACACAGGGCAGGGAGTACCTGTCTTGGTTAATATTTTGACAACGCAGGGTTCTCCCCTCGGGGGTGGCCATCACAAGGCTTCCCCCCACCGAAGCACCCGTGTTTCTCAAAGTACGGAAACTTCACAGACGTGCGTGTCAGCCTTTCTCATGCTGACCTCTGCGTGGCCCCAGCACCAGCACAGCCGGTGCTGCCTGCGTGGGCGCTGTCAGGGAGAGCACGTGGGCAAGGCGTTGCTCCACATACCTCCATAGGGCCAGGAGCCTTTGAAGACAAACCCTTATGGTTACAAGTTTTGTTCTTGCGGGTGCACCAATACTGGATGCCCAGCGGACCCTCAGCAGATGTTTGGTAGACAACAGGCAGTAAAGAGCAGCCTCCCATCTCACCAAACAGACGTTCAGCCTCTTGTATTAAACCCAATCAAGCAGCTCAGCATGAAGAAGGAAGTTGGTGGTCAGAAGGGAAATCCCATCAATAAACCAGCAAAAAAAAAGAAGGCAATATTGCTGCTCGGCGAAGTGGACGAGCAAACTGAAATGCTGCGGTCCTTCCTTCCAGGAGGAAGCGGCCCGTGCACGGCGGTGCTGGGAAAACAAAAGTAGCGACTCCTCAGCCTTTGGGTGCATCCCTTCCAGGTAAAATGGAAGTTCCTCTGCTGGTTTCATGCAGGTCAAGACGGCCGGGCTTTTCCTAAGTATATGTAAACATCAATAAGGCAGATGTTGAAACATAATAATTGTTAAATAATATGCTGAGGAAAAAGAAGAAAGAACACAAGCATCTTGGCTGCTTCTGGTTTTCTAGGAACGTTCTGAGAGCACGCAATGTGACCATGGGGTTGGCACACGGATGCCAAGGAAGTCGGCACCAAGGGGCCGGGGCAGCCCGGCCAGGGTCCAGCCCTGGTGCTGAGGCTGCTGAGCCTGCCCGTGGCCAAGGAAATTCAGGCACCGTCATCCCACTGACACTGCGCATGTCGAATGCCACTTGGCGATGCTCCCACATATCGACAGGAGCTTTGTCAAAACTTATCACTGCTTTTGCCTGCACACGACCCCGGATCTGGGGAGGAGATTGGGTGGGCTCGTCCCGGTTTAGCTTGCCAGGGACACTGAGCCTGGGGACAGAAGAGGCTCAAAGAGAAATAAAAGCAGAGGATACAAAGATTAAGATGAAATTGCCAGCACTTCACGTCCTGCGCCCTAAAATCCCTCAGAACCGTGGAAAGCAAATGTAGGGGACACGACTTTCCCTTACAGACCCTCGGCAGCAAAGATGCTTTCAGACCTGGCAAAACAACGTCTCCCTCCAATGGCATGTAAGTACACAGGATTCTAAGAGCAGAGGAAGTCAGATTTTTCCAAGAAAGGAGCCGTTCTATTTGTGCAGGCTTCATCCCAGCTTGAGAATGACGAAATCTTCAAAGGAAATAATTGAGCTCCCGCTGGGTGCTCGGGCATCGCAGTCACTCGGCACCTGAGTATGAAATGACCGAAAGGCCGTTCCTCTTGCGTGTTAGTGCGCGGTGAGCCAGCAAGGGGCTTGGTAATTGAAAAGTATTTTCAGAGAAAAATCAGAGTTTTAATAAGAAAACCCAGAAAAGCTCAGTAAGAAAATAGTTAAATTACCTTCAATTTTGCTACTTTTATTTTGTGCAAAGGTTGACAGGAAAGCAGCTTAGATGGGAAATAAATGAATCTTATTCTACTTTAGACTTTACAAAGATATTAGCCGTGACCTTAGAAAGCACATTGGTTCTATTTTGGAATAAAAGGAGCTAAGGGCTTAGAAGCTACAAGCAGTACTGGAAAGGTAAACCCAGCTACAGCCAAGCACTTGCAAATGTCTACACGAGGCATGAACTGGGGCATTTCACAAAGAAGATACACAAACAGCCCATCCTGTAGCAGGAGGGCTCAACTTACCCACCTCAGAAATGCAAACAGAAACCACAGAGAGAGACCAGGCACGCCTGTATGCAGGGCCACGATGACCGGGAATTCCAGGTGTTGGTGACAACAGAAGTAGCTAGACCCCTCAGGCACCGCTGTCGGGTTTGAGACGGAAGATCTTGTCAGTTTCCTAAAGACTGAGCGTCCAGTCACCACACGGGCCAGCATGCCAAATAAACATACGCCTAAAATTTACTAATAGATTACAGTAATAAAAATAAATTAGCCCCTGCTTTCACCAAAGAAAAGATGTGCAGGGACATTCATAGTTCTGTAATCTCTTAGCTGGTTCTCTCGCCCGCTCGTCGTGGACATGGATCAATCCATCACTGGACACTCAGTTCCTATTTCCAAGCTTCCTCCCTCACTGGAATCGGCCTCTCAAGCCCTACAGCTTTGGCCACCAGGGCAGGGAGGCAGGCAGCCAGCCGTCTACACCACCATTCTGCTCTGCCCAGGGTTTTCCTCGTTTCTCAGCCTCTGAACCAGCATTATTTCAAAACCCATAAATGCCTCCGGGGAGAGGCTCCACCCAGTGATTTCTCTGCACTCAGTGACCTCGATGCTCTGGCCGTGTCCTGGAGTCTCGGCCGTCAAATGCTCTGCCCCTGCGCTATGCCAGCTTTCTGGTGTCACTGAGCAGATGGTTCCGGATGGTTACAGAGGTAAAGAGATCAGTGTAGACCGTTAAGGGAGAGGGACCATGAATGATCCATGTGCTTTTCTAATTTGGAGGAAGCAGGTTTGTTTCCTGGAACCTAGTCCCTCGGAACGGAACAGCTCAGTCTCGGCTGCAATACTTAAAGCGAATCCCAGGGACCACATTGTTTTTCCTGAAACTACGCCGTGCGTATCACTTGTGTTGCCTTAATATCACGCAGGCCTATTACCACATAATAACTGTTTCTTATAACCTAATACCGAGTGTAATCTTCCCAAATGTCTAATCTTCCCAAGTGTCTAAGTAACATCTTGTGAGTTTGGATGCAAATAAGGTCCCACTGTGTCGAGTTCCTTGTAATCCACACAGCCTCCCCCACTGCAAGCCCGTGCTGTTGAAGGAGTCGTTTTGTATAGAATTTCCCGTAGTCGTGACTTGCTGACTGCATCATCGTATAACTTTTCCTCCCAATTCCCAGCTTTGTTGTAAATTAGAAACTAGCTAGAAAGATTTGACTATACTCAGGTTTTTGACAAGGCGTCGCCGGGCATAGCACTGGGGACGGGAGGGCCCAGGGGTGAGGGAGGCGGCTGGGGAGACGGTGCCCGGCCAGCCCCGGGGGCGCCCTGCTCCTCCTGCCCCCGCCGGCCTGGGCTGCGTCGCCCTCCCTGGAGTCCGCAGCCATTATTGAAAGGGGCCTGGACCCAGGGGCTCCTTCCAGGCCTTAGAAGCAAGAGAAACGCATTCACAGGACAGAGAGAGGTGATCGGAAAACAGCCCGGGTCTGGGGTCAGAGAAAGGCAGAAGCTGTGCGGGCAGGTGACTAAAGGAAACAACCCGTTGACCGGCCCCCTGAGGACCTGCTCGCTCCCGACTCCCACGAGGTGAACCCTGAGCAGACTCCCCGTGGGCACAGCCCAGGCCACGGGCTGCAGAGGTCAGCCCAGGGCGCACAGCTGCGGCCAGGACAGACCCAGTACTCCAGCCCCACGGCGGGTGCCCAGGCCTGCCTCTCCTGCCCCACAGCAGGACCTTTGCCCCCTCCCTCGTGCCCGCCGTGGGCGACACCCGGTCAGGGCCCGTTTTCTGCCCACCTGAAAGACTTCTGGTTTACTCACAGTGTTTATTTCTAACTGCAAAACTCAGCAGTGACCCAGCCTTTCTCCATCATTTAACAATTTTTAATATCAGGTCTCTTTTCTGGAAACATCCTGTTTTCCCTAATTCTACCAATCTTCATCAGCCTCTGCATTTCCCACAATTCAGCCATGAGACTTGTGGTTAAGGACGGCTGGTTGGACACCCTGCCCTCTCCCCTAGCGCGGGGGAGACCGAGTCACCTGCAGGGGGGCGCCACGACAGAGCCCCCAGCGCGCCCCACGAGCCCCAAGCTGCAGGTTAGGGACTTGGAACCGGGCGCCGAGCACAGGCTGAGCCTCCGCAAATCTCAGCTGCGCGTGACGTTATCTCCATGCTGAAAAGTGACGTCACTGTTGGCTTGTGCATACATGTCACCCTCACATTCGAGGGGGCCCAGGCTGTGCCACAGAGAGGAGAGCGCTGCGGGCGCTCAGGTTTTTGAGGTTGTTCTGCGCTTTTCCCGTGTTCCATGCTGCCACCTGCTGGGCGCCCGCGGGATCGCACGCGCCCAGCGCGGACCGGCCATCTTGGGCGGGGCTGTCCCGGCCCACCTGCGAGGAGAGAGGCTGTCCTCACCTGTGAGAAGAGAGGCTGTCTCGGCCCACCTTGGTGGGGGAGAGGTTGTCCCGGCCCACCTGCGGGGGGAGAGGCTGCCCAGGCCCACCTGCGAGAAGAGAGGCTGTCCTCGCCCACCTGCGCAGAGAGAGGCTGCCCAGGCCCACCTGCGTAGAGAGAGGCTGCCCAGGCCCACCTGCGTGGAGAGAGTCTGTCCTCACCTGTGAGAAGAGAGGCTGTCTCGGCCCACCTTGGTGGGGGAGAGGTTGTCCCGGCCCACCTGCGTGGAGAGAGGCTGTCCTCACCCACCTGCGACAAGAGAGGCTGTCCCGGCCCACCTGAGCAGAGAGAGGCTGCCCAGGCCCACCTGCATAGAGAGAGGCTGCCCAGGCCCACCTGCATGGAGAGAGTCTGTCCTCACCTGTGAGAAGAGAGGCTGTCTCGGCCCACCTTGGTGGGGGAGAGGTTGTACTGGCCCACCTGCGTGGAGAGAGGCTGTCCTCACCCACCTGCGACAAGAGAGGCTGTCCCGGCCCACCTGCGCGGAGAGAGGCTGCCCTGGCCCACCTGCGCAGAGAGAGTAGAGGACGCTGTTCCGGGCAACTTCGACC